ATATATTTCTACTTTTAACCATGTGTCCTTGGTGCTTAAAGATTGATCCAAGATAATTAGGATCTGGACTTGGAACATTCCAAACTCCATGATCATTCAAGTTCTCATCAGCTAATCAGCCTTGCAGAAGTTTCAGTGTAAGGTGAAGTTCTTTCCAGGAAATTTGTTCACAGTTTCCACTCTAAATTATTTTCTACTGTACTGTCACTGTCTGCCTGAGTTGGGTAGGAGAACTTTATACAGTGTGCCATACTTACTGATGGAAAGATTCACACCTGGCCAACTGCTGGAACAAGTGACTATTGCTTGGCATGGTGGCCCAATGCTCAAAGAACAATCATGACCCATCACCTCTTACATATCACTCTTCCAAAGCTCTGGGAACAACACAGAAGAGGGTGCAGAAAGAATGTAAGACCTGGAGGAAAGTGTCATTTATTGCCTTCTTTTGTCTTTGTGATCTTTAGATAAATCATTTGGAATGTAAAAACAAAACCTTAGTTTCCATCAAAACCAAAAGGCAAATAATGCCTTCAAATAGCATCTGGGATTATAGCTGAGATTTCCCCACTTTGCTGTAACTCACGGGCCTGATATCTCCACCAATGTTTTTTCTTTTTTCTTTTTTCTTTTTTTCTTTTTTTTTTTTTTTTTTTTTTTTGGTCTTTTTGAGACAGGTCTCCCAGTAGCCCCAACTGGCTTGGAACTCGCTATGTAGATCAGGGTGGCCTTGAACTCACAAAGACCCTCCTGCCTCTGCCTCCCAAGTGCTGGGATTAAAAGCATGTGCCACCACATCCGGCTACCACCAATGTATCTTTTAAAATGCCTTGATTTATGTCTTTTTTTGTTTTGTTAACTATAAAAATGTCATTGAAATATGACTATATTGGAGCATGAAATTTAGGGTTACCTAAATCTGTTTTCTTAGACCATGGTCACTCATATTTGGCTCCAGAATAAACTATCTTTCATTTTCTTTGAAGTGATAAGTGTGTGTGTGTGTGTGTGTGTGTGTGTGTGTCTACAAAACCATAGCTGAAGATGAACAGGCCCATTTCTGCAGAAGAGGGATCATTGGTGACTTTATTATGTTCTGTATCCTCAGTTTCCCTGTTTGGAAACATTGCCTCATCAGTACTTAACATAATTAGGCTCAGTGTAGTTAGTATACACCCCCACACCCCCCCACACACACACTGGGGTCCTCTAAGGCCCTGGCTGGCATGTGCCACCCCCTCCCCAGCTCTAGGAGGCAGCTGACAGGGATGGGTATTATGGAATGCTATCCTCCAGGCATGGCATGGCTGTTGATCTCTTGAATTCTCAGCAGCTGTGGTTACCTGTAAAACACTTGGGAGATAAGACTCCCTTTTCAACAGCTGACAGTGCAAGAACTGGACATCCCCATATAGATGAATAAACTAGATTTCACACCTCTCATTTCTGAGTTCCAATGGTAGCAGTATGGTAGAAGTTCTGAAGAGAGTTCAGGCCTTAGCACCAGAGGCAGGCAGCATGGTGGGGTCTCTGGAGAGAATCAGAGCCCACATGGCACAGGAGGAAGCCTCTTCTTAGAGCTCTCTGAGGATGAGGAAGATTTCACAGCTGTATCCCAAAGCCAAAATGTCTAATTCCCAAGCATGAGTCAAAAAAGGGGTGGGAGCAGGATGTGTCAGAGGATAATACTCCCATTGTTATAAACTCAATTCCCAGGTGAGATATCTTGGCACCAGGACTGTCTTTAG